ACGTATAAAAAAAAATCTTTAATTAATTGTGTAACGATCTACAAACTCGGGGCACTCGGGACGTTCACCCCTGTTGATTATATCGGGTCAGCCGGGTTATCGGGTCAACCGAATAACCGGGTTAACCGGTTAAGCTTTTGCTTAACCGGGTCACCCGATTTTTTCGGTTCGGTTCGGTTACCCGATTATTGTCTAACCGGGTCATATCATTACTCTGGCATTAAACTATCATCACATGTTTTTATTCGTTGGAATTTGATTCGTTAACTTTAACCTATTTTTTGACAGTTTATAAAGAGAATAAAGTACGCATATGATTATTGACTAATAGAAAATATTATTGAAATTTTATTCATTTTATACAATTAAAACTTAAATAGAGCTTTCACAAACAATCGAGTGCAACATTTTGAAATAGTCCTTGTGAAGTGTTTTTATTAAACGAAATTAGAATAATATGTTGTAATATTAAGGTGAATCTTTTAGGATTTTAAGATTTCTTTTATAATCAAAATAAAATGATATTTTTAATTTCACTGGCAAAAAACCTGATCATAGTAAAGTTATCAATTCTAGCTTTGAGTGCTTCTCATGATCGCTATATCAACATCACGGGATTATTATTACTAATACGTACGTACGTACCAAAAATGTCAAAGCTTTCGCTCACATAATACATCAATCAACGTTTAAAATATCGATATGCAAACAATTATGCATACTTATCACAGAATGTGCAAATTACAAATGTTTCAGGCATCAACAAAGCTTGTTTAGCTAGTTTATAAATGAAAAAAAAAGTATACTTATATAGCCATCTTACTCCACAATTTATATTTATAGTGTTTCAAGACTTAAACTCGATGAACTTGAAAAACGAATTCTAAACGTTATGCAATGATCTTTCTTATATAATAATTAATTAGCTGTTTTGTAAAGTCGTTCGTCTGGTTGCGAATGCTTGAATTTAAACCAACATTCTTGAATAAAAATAGTATTGTAACTGCTGAACTTTGAAATGTTCTTTATACCGGGCGTTATCATTAATATGCGTTAGCAGAAAAGGTAAATGTGATGGATGGATGACTTGTCAAAACAAGGTTGATCTACACCATTGTACGCTGATTGCAGGTTATAATACACTGCATTTTGCGCATTTTGCCAATAATAAAATTTGATTTACCATATAAAAAGCTACAATCGATCCATTTGTATTTTTTAACAATAGAGGTTCTTTTTCTTAAAAAGAAATCAAAAAATCAAAAAAAGGCTTGGTAAGTTAGAATGAAAAATCGATTAAACAAAGAAAATCTTATATTTAATTGTAACGATACAAATAATTATAAATGGTACAATTTTCCATAGAATCGTGTTTTACAATTTTACGAAGAGGTTTCTCCAAATCGTAAATCAAGCCAAGGGTTTGTTTGTTTAGGGATGTTATTGTTATCATTTATAACATTCCTATTTTGGTTATCGTCGTAATTATTTTTTTTTTAAATTTCGTGTGTATAATATTTGAAAAGGGAATTAAATTCCCGCCAGTTTTTATTCATATACAAAAGGAATTTTATGTAATAATGGGTAACCAACATTCTGAACATAGAAATGATGATTTTTCATACGAAAAATCAGGTTTACCATATAAGTCAGATGTAGCTTTGAAATGGGGAACTTGTCCAGAATGTAGAGGTCCAAATACCGGATGGAATTGGTGCCAAGAATGTAATTCTAAACATTTTATGCGATTTTTTCAATCTTGGACAAGTAATAATGAAATAATAGATGAGTTTATAAGAGATACTCAAATTTTAGCAAAATCTCATTCACACGTATTTGAGTGGATACCCTATAAAAGATTTTATAAGATAGAATATATTACACGTGGAGGATTTGGTAAAGTTTATTCAGCAAGCTGGAGAGATGGTAGAATTATGAGTTGGGATATAGATAAACGAACATGGGTGCAGCAATATAAGCCTAAACAACAAAAGGTGGCTTTGAAAACTATTTATAATGGAATGAAAATAACACGAGAATTTTTAACTGAGGTAAATAAATAATAATATGTTCTTTAATCAATAGTTGTCATCTTCACTATTAAAAGTTCATTTTACCTTTATCGTTTTCTAGATTAAATCACATTCTGAATATGACGATCCAAGTTATATTGCTAATTGGTTTGGAATCTCACAAGATCCATTAAGCAAAGAATATATAATGGTCATGAAATATTATGAACATGGAAGCATTCGTGACTATTTACGAAATAATCCAATAAATTGGTTACAGAAGGTGAAATTTATACGGCAAATAGCATTTGCTCTTTCCACAATTCATGGAAATAGCTATCATCATCGGAACCTTCATACCGGAAATATATTAGTTGATAATTTTCCATTTGCCAAGATCAGTGATCTTGGGCAAGGCCATCTAATCGATAATCGTGATGATTTGTATTCTGAAAAAAAAAAAAAAATTATAGTTGGTGAAGGCCATCTAATCGATAATCGTGATGATTTGTATTCCGAAAAAAAAAAAAAAATTATAGTTGGTGAAGGCCATCTAATCGATAATCGTGATGATTTGTATTCTGAAAAAAAGGAAAAAATTATAGTTGGTGAAGGCCATCTAATCGATAATCGTGATGATTTGTATTCTGAAAAAAAGGAAAAAAAAAAAAAAATTATAGTTGGTGTATTGCCTTACATTGCTCCTGAAATACTAAGAGGACGTGATTACACAAAAGCAGCTGATATTTACTCTTTTGGTGTGGTAATTTGTGAAATACTTTCTGAACAACCTCCATTCAACGATGTTGCTCATGACTTTCAGCTTGCAATGAGCATTTGTAAAGGTGATCGACCACAAATTAAACAAGATGTTCCACCATCTATTGCTAAATTGATTCAACTATGTTGGCATGGTGAATCCAATAAACGCCCGACGGCGGAACGATTGGTTGGAATCCTTGAAAATGCTTTAGAGAATGATTGGAAAATACCACCGGAACTTAAAGATAATGACCAAAAGATTGCTGAAGAAATCAGAGAGTTCTTGAAATCTCATGGGAAGGAAACTTTGTCTGATTTTAAACTCTTTGTAAAAGATCAAAATAGTAATAATCATCCAGAAGCTATTTATAGAAGTCGAGATTTGGACTTTCTTGAAAACCTATCAAAATTAATGGATGATTATGATTTATCTAATTATCTGGCAAATATGAACATCTCTTCTTTAGATAAGCTCCCAGGTAAGATTTATATATCATTGCTTTACATCAAATATACCAAATAGTTAATATTTATTCTTACATATTTTTGGCACTTCGTTAGAAATTACTACTGCTGAATATGTGAGATATTTCGCTAATATTAATGGTATGACCCTTGTTATCATTATACAAGTACTTTATGTTTTTGTTATGGATAATCGTTAATCATTCTTTTTTTAAAACATTCAGACAATAATAAGTCTAATGAAATGGAATGATGAAATATCAAGGTTTTATGTAATACCATTAGCATTACATAACACGTGTACAGATTGATTAAACGGGATGGGTTTTTGACATCATGGTTGGATTTTTTATAGCATCGTTCATGTGTTTTTTTTGTGTATTTTGCTTATTTAATGGCATCATTTTTTTAGAAGAAAAGGTCTATAATAAAATTATATGTGACATGATTGTTTCACTCTGGATTATTAACTCATTAATTTGTTATAATTTCTAACTTTGTTGGCAAATTCATTTAACACGACATTATTGATATGATATGGCTACACAATGACAATTTATATATCTATATGGAGTATACGATTTTAATTATTAGGATGCTCCAAGTATACTAAGCATTTAGAGAGGAGTATATGTTAAAGTGATTTTGCCTCTGACGGGTGTAGGATCAGTTTTTAGTTCATGTGATTATCTTACCATCATTTAGATAATAACGATAGATCTCGAACTTTTACGTTAACTACTTTTGTGCAAACCACTCTAGCGCCACTAATTTAAAAAATTTCGCTAATCACATGTCGGTCAATTAAAATTTTTGATATGTCAATAGGAAATTACCTGTTTAGACAATAGTACATGAATATTAGATTTGAGCTAAGGTAGAACATTTTCTATTTCGTCATTAAAGTAAAAACCATTCGACGTGACATACATCTCTGAACTCTATTTGTAAAAGGAAAGAAAGGCTATTTTATTTAAAGCTATAAATTAATCTTGTTAAATTACTGTATTTATACAGATTAAATTTTTCTATTTGGTTTATTATATTGTTTCAATTTAATAAAAATTTTGTTTTTTTTACAATTTTGCTACTTTTACTATATATTAATATACTACTGTACTATCTTTTAAATTGTGTTGTAGCCAAATTTGCTTATAAAATTTTTAAAAATTCAAAAGTTTAAAAAAACTTTTTCCGGTTCACCCCTGAAAATCAATTATAATAGTAAAAGTAAACAATCTTTTGTCACAAGCTCTAAGTATTATATTTGCAAAATACGATAGTTCCTTGGGGCAAGTAGTTCCACCTGGTACACAATAACTAATCATGATAGACAAGATACAGAGACACCACAGTAGCCAAAAAAACTAAATTCCCCTAGTCAAGCCTCTTTGGAGCTTCCTGACAACATGTTGCAACAAAAAACATACCTCCAATCTTTTTCTGAGAAAATTTTTAGCATAGCAACAACAAATGACACCAGTACAGACCCGGAAGCACCCACTGAATTTTTTACACAACCAACACTACAAGCTACTTTGTCTACTCCTAACAAAAACTCTAACAATCCAAAAAATTGTTAATATCACCACTGACACACCCTATACAACAAACCAAAAAGTGGGCAAGCAAGCTCACCCCTGTCTGCAGATCACATGGAGTCATATGACACCAACATGATATTACCGATCTACCTAACAACACAGGAATTTGATCTAATATCTAAACTATCCAGATTGATTCTCAAGTCCATTTAATTCTTGGATATCCTTATTTATAGTTTTTAAAACAGATGATCTGATTTTGTACCCAGATGAAGTGTTATAGAATGAGATTCATATTTTATCTCTATTAGATCCAGAAGATTGTAACAATCAAAACAAGCTACAATACATAACAAACAAACTATCGATTAGCTAGATAATACCTTTTGTACTTTTTATACCTTTTGTACTTTTTATATCTTTTGTACCTTTTATACCTTTTATATCTTTTATACTTTTTATACCTTTTGTACTTTTTGTATCTTTTATACTTTTTATATGTTTAGTACTTTTTATACCTTTTATATATATTGTAAAAGCTATATAAACTCTAGCTTTTACCTTCTTGTATTAGAGAATTTGTTCTCTGCAATGTTCTAAAATATTAGGATTTTATAGGAATAGATATCTATAGATAGCTTTGTATCTAGATATTGTATCATAAATAAATAAACATATCTTTGTTCTAAAGTAAACCATGTCTCTATGCTTCTAATGAATATACCAAACTGTCCTAGTGAGAAAACATTCCACTTTCATACCACTTTATATCTCGCCCTGTTATATTAGAAATCTCTGTCGCTGTGTGATATGTTGCAGGTAGTAAATTAAGAAGGCTACCCTACTTGTAACAATACTTTAATAATAAATTATTTTGATAGAACTCTTTCTTATGATTACTTTTACCAATTTCTAAAAAACTTTTTACTAGAAAAAAATACAAACAGCCATATTAGTCTATAAGACATGAGAAAAGAGACCTTAGGATGGCAATTATTATTTAAAGATAGTTCTTATATGCTATTTGCTAATTTTTTCAAAGTTTATCACTTACTGTTTTTATAAGCATAGCACTTGTTATTTAGAAATAGTTTTTATAGACTATCTGCCAACAAGTTTAGAGTTTATCAAAACCCTGAGCATCTCTGATATAGGTTATATTTTTTTTTAGCAAATTGCAGAAAATTTAAATAGAGATTCAAATTTGAGTTTTAGCAAATTGATATTAATTTTAAAATAGGCCATAATTGACTATTTCATTGAATTATATTAATTTTATACATATTATATTTTATTTTTAGCAAATTATTTGCATTTTGGAAGAATTATACTCAAGAATAAGCTATCTTTTTTTTAAACCATTATGATTTTTCAAAATTTAAAAAAAAGAGCTTAATTTTAAATTTTTTGATTAAAAATCCAAGATTATATATCTTTTCTTAAATTTTAAAGAAATATAAAATTAAATACAGTCAGACCTCTCTAAATGCATGTTGTCAGGACTAGCTTTAGCACATGCATTTAGAGAGATATTGTATTTAGGAAGGTAAAAATTTATAGATATAATATTAGTTGGACCCAAAAAAAGGCGTGCATTTAGAGAGGTATTGTATTTAAGGGAGTAGCATTTAGAAGGGTCTAACTATATACTATTATAGTGTATTTTTATGTACTAAATAAGGTTACTTAGAATATAAAGTTAAAATTAATTAGTAAACTTTCAAGAATATTAGTATTTTTTAGTATTTTTATTAATAAAATTATATAAAATATTAAAATTCTCAAAATTTTACTAATTAATTCTAACTTTATATTTCAGGTAAACTTGTTTAGCACATAAAAATACACTATAATAATATATTTAATTTTATATTTTTTGAAAATTCAAGAAAAGATATATGAATAAATATATACGTTGCACTTCGTGATATCACTAATTATTAATAATTATAACTCTTCATGATGCACTACGTTTTGCTTTTAAATATATACAATCACATGATTATAAAACATAAATAAGTGACTTTGTTAATACAATGTGAATGAAGCCACTTTCAAATGCAATAGCACTTTTCTTGATTATAATTACGTAATTGCTGCTAATAAATTAATAAATTAATGATAAAAATTATGCCATTATACGATAAAATATTAGATCGCATACCTGAAAGTTTATATAATGTGATACACATTTTTCATCATATACCAAACACTCAACGATTATATTTAGTGCTGATTTTTTTCATCACTCTTACTTTACTAAACTTGAGCCTCATATTTTTTGCTTTCACCTCACCAAGTTTAGAGCTTATAAATTTGATTTTTTCATTATTCTCAATTAACCAAATTTAGGGCCTAATTAAGTTTTGATTTTTTTATTGCTTTCACCTTACCAAATTTAGAGCTTATAAGTTCAATTTTCATTGCTATCGCCTTACCAAATTTAGACTCTATAAGTCTGGTTTTTTCTTATCGTTTTCACCTTATCAAACTTAGAGCTGTATAAGTTTGATTTTTTTATTGCTTTACTTTACCAGATTTTTTTCATTATTTTTTACTTCTTTTTATCACTTTTATCTCAATAATAAATATAGAATCTTATGAGACTATTGGAACAAGTTTTTCGAACTATAATCCTAAAAAGATAATGGAAATAGAAAGATATATTTTCTTTGATAATATTGCTGAAAATTCTATGCAAGCATTGCTTAATGATACCAAAGAGAAAACTGATAATAAGACATTAACTTACCAAGATTTGGAAAACCCTAATAATGATGATATGCTAGTTAATACAGTGCAAGACAGCAAGAGACATCCAATATCTATTAATAAAACTTTAAAGTGGTATAACTTTTTTAAAACAAGCTAAATCAAAAAACCCTCTGACAAAATAATAGATTTTTAAATAAATTACATTTTTGTCAGAAGAATTTTTTTTATTCTTTGTTTTAAGAAAGTTATAAGAGATTAAAGTTTATATGAGTTCATAAAATTGGCATTTATTATAAAAAAAAGAAAATATATATAGGTTTTTAACCAATTAAAATCAATTGCTCAATAATTAGCCAATCAGAATTGATTATATAAGCACCAAAATTGGCATCTACATGTATAGATTGGATGTCTCTTGCTGTTCCGCACTGTACAAACAATAAGGTGATAGTAATTTCAGAAGAAACACCTGCAAGTACTGCATTCAATTCTTGAACAGAAGTTGAAACTTTTATTGAAGACTATAAGAAGCGAAATAGATTTACATTAATTAAATATCAAGTAAGGAAAAATAAAGCTGAAAATTTATAAACAAACTTTTATTTGTGAATTTGGTAGAAAGTACAAGTCTAATAAAAATCAAAATAGCATACAAAGAAATACAAAAACAAAAAAAGTTGACTATTTATAGCATATAAACCTTTCTTATGGAGAAACTGAAACTCAAATCTTTGTTACTATGCTTGTGAATGAATACAATCATAAGATCAACTTAAATACTTAAGAATTTGGGCTTAAATATCGTTCCCTTGATGAAAATGCTTTAAAAGAAGTGGAGATAATGACTAAATATGGAAACCTGTCGATTACAGTATACTAAGAGGGTGTTTTTTTAATTTGTATTTTCAGGATAGTAACCTTAATAATACTATTCAACAATT